TAAGGCACACCTGTGCAATAATCATGCTGTCTAATCAGCATCTTGATATGCCACACCTGTGAGGTGGATGGATTATCTCGACAAAGGAGAAGTGCTCACTAACACAGATTTAGACAGATTTGTGAACAATATTTGAGAGAAATAGGCCTTTTGTGTACATAGAAAAAGTCTTAGATCTTTGAGCTCAGCTCATGAAAAATGGGGGCAAAAACAAAAGTGTTGCGTTTATAATTTTGTTCAGTGTAGAAAATTAGTTTTTTAAAATTGTAATATTTCAATTATTATTTGATTGAAATATTTAACATTTACAAACAAAAAGTCTTACCACCAACCTCAAACTTTTGAACGGCAGTGTAGATTAAGAATAAATTAACATTCACACAACACATCATATTGTAAGAAACATGAGGCTTAAAGTTCAAGACCCAATAGCTTTTCTGTTGAATCATCAGATTTATATAAAAATGTGTTCGTGTGCACAGAAAAGGATCAGCAACTGTGCTAATGACAAACAACGGCTAAATACACTAGATCAACTGTATGACTGAATTTAAGAACTGAGTCTTTATGCAATGAACATGATTGCATTAAAAGTTTTCATAAAGTCTTTTCTAGTCATCTGATTAATATATATATATATATATATATATTAAACTAAAAGGGATTTAACTGTAATTAAATTAGCAATTAATTAGCAATTAAACGTTTTTAAACAGCAAAACGAATGAGCACCATATAGAGGAGAAAACTATTCATTATTATGGAACGGTAAAGCAATGATATTATGGGGTGACTGCAAGCACGTTGGCATGAAAATAAAAGAATAAAATAAACAAAAAAATGACAATTGCTTCCCTATAGTGTGTTTGAGTAAAAATAACCCCACACAGCACTGGAGTAAGACTTTCACAACTAAACTTGGTATACATTAATGAGGTGAGAGTGTGCTGGATGGAATGTGGAGGTCAGCACTCTTCTAAACCTGCATCAGACCTGAGTCCAGCCTGTGCTGTGAGCTGCAGCCCTCACACCCATTTCCCTCACTGCCGTTTCCCTCTCCACCTCCCAGGAGCAGCCGGCAGAGAGGAAGAGGGTGTAAATGAGACTACTATTTTTGTCGCTCTCTGTATGTGCGTTAGTCATAGTGGGAATGAAGAAATCTGGGTATGATCAGACTACAGGCATTTCAACCTGATATCACTTCAAATATCGTCTTCAAGGTGCTCTTTTTTTCAAATGAAACAAAGCAAATTGATAGTTATTGCTGAAATTATAATCAGTGCCAAATACAATACGTGGGGTTATGCTAGGGGATATAAAATATCTAAACTCTAATGTTTATCTGTAACACTGTACAATAAGGTCTTATGTTTGGTAACATTAGTTAACTATATTAACTGTATCAGTTAACATGAATTATCAGCTATAATACATCTACAGCATTTAATAATCTTAGTATATGTCAGTTATGTTAATTTCAATATTTACCATTACATTGTTTTAGATAAAAAGTTATATCTTATAAGTTATATAACAAGCAATTAACAATATTAATATTTGTATTAACGTATATTAACAAAGACTAATAAATGCTGTAATATATATATATATATATATATATAGAATATATATATCTATATATATCTCAGTGAACTGAGACGACCAGGGCAGAAGTTTCATTTTGTGCTCAGTGAGACATTGTTGTGTTGGTTTTGATGTTTGATTTGGATCATTGTCCTGATGGAAGATCCCATCAAACCCCACAGAGAATATTTAAATTACATTAAAGTCTTCTCTAATGGTTAACATGTGTGATGCCAAGCACATACCTGGTCCAGGTTAGACAGACTGTTGGGATCTTGGCTTAAGGCTTGGTACTGCCCTCTGAGGCGGTCTCCAGCTGCGATCTTCCGGAATTTTTTTAAGTCCACCACATATAATGCACTGGAGAAAAAGGGCAACATTTATTAAATATTACACATATCATATAACAACAGACTCCTCTCAAAAATTTTAAAATGTTACAGCAAATCTATAATCTATCAAGACAAAATTGACATTCTGTGTTTTAAACATACGTTATTGTGATTTGTTGTGGTCTAACCTGATGTGGTATTTCCTGTGTCCAAGATGAGAAGCCCAGTAGCCAGTCTTCCAAAAACGGTAGCCTTCCATCTCTTTTCGGCTGTCGCAGAATGGTGTGTACCCATAGGGGGCGCCCTCTAGAGCCAGATCTCTCAGCTCCTTCAAATCTGCCCTGACAATCTAAATATAAAGTGTGCTGGGTTATGTTTTGCCTATGATAGGTATCACTATTTGCTAATGTGCTAACAGGATGAATTGTTGGAAAAGTGCCTGTGAATTCTCTTGGCTGCTATTAATTAAAAAATGGCAAACTGTAAGACATGTATTGTTACAGGTTGGAAATGGATGCATATCAACATGCAAAAACAAACACATTATTTTTTTTATATCTATGACTAAATCTGCTAAAATGTGCAACATACAACAGAGAACACTGTACAGAGTACTGTTTCCCACAATGCAACAAGCTCTGCATGCCCTTCATGTAGTATGGATAAACTGGAAGTAATATCAGCCATGATTTTTTATTATAATTTTCTTGACTCATTTTGTGTTCAGACCGCCAAGAATTGAGACCCAAAAACACCCAAATTCACCCAAAAATGAAAATTGTGTAATTTACTCTCCCTCATGCTGCGTGAAACCCTTCAGACTTCCGTTCATCTTAAAAACACAATTGAAGCTGTTTTTAATTAAACTGAAAGTCCATTCCCCCAAAACTTTGACGCTTCAAAAAGTTCATAAATACACTGGAAAAGCAATCCATTTGTGAATGGTTCCGAAAGGGACACAATCATGTCTTGTATATGAACAAATTCAATTTAGGCTTTCATTCACATATAAACATGGATCAACATCAACACACATCACATATGGTAAAAAGAAGCTCAAATGTAATGGCTTGACATGCAAAACCAAACCTCACAGTAATGAAGAGGAATCAAAGTCTTATGCGTTTGGAACAACATGAGGATGAGTAAATAATTACAGAATTCTCATTTGAATTTTCATCCATGAAATAGGATTAAAAAAAAAAAAAGCAAAAAAGCTGTAATTACTTCTGAGATGCCACTCACTGAATTTAACCTGTATTGAGATCATGTTTGTTGCTAAATGTACAAATATGCTGGTTTTTCATTCAGAACCACTGTTTTTCTCATGCGTAAGGTCACCTGATCAGCGTCTACAAAGATGATCTTGTCCACAGCCAGGGGGAAAAGCACATCCAGGAAAAGGATCTTATAACCCCAGATGATACGTTGCTTTTCTGTCTGCTGGTGAAGCCAGCGGGGCCACTTATACTGGACCAGCTCATACTGGAAACCATAAGCCTTCGCCATGTGAGAGATGGTGTCCTGTACACACACACAAGCAGAAAGGGATAAACTACAGAGGACAACACACACTATACCCAGCACAATATATCTATTAACACATTCATGGATCATTCTCCCCTCATTTTGAAAAAGCATTAATTTAATCTTTAATGTTGGAGCATCCACTGCGTAGCATGACTTCTGTTCCGCTCATGGTTTAATGTTTGAAAATTAATTTAAGGCAGGCAATAAATGTATTAGTATTGTAATTTTAGTTTTATTATTGGATTATTTTTCTTAAATATTAAATTTTTAATGACTTTTAAAAAATTGTTTTAATGATATTTTTATTTTTGTAAAATTATTACTATTATTTTATAATCACAAAATGCTAGGGAAAATTGTGTAGCCTTACAAATAAGCATAAACAAAACAAAACGAATTTTAATTCACAATTGTAATTTTTATCAGAAAATAGCAATCTGATTTTTTACACAAATTGTGCAGCCCCTATATTAAAAGGTGTATACTTAAAACTGAAATCGGATATCAAACTGAGAGCAAAGCATCACAAAACAAAACTTACATCTCTCATAAAAAAAGTAAACAAATAAAAAAATCTGATGCCATAAACTTTGTAAAGTCAGTCAAAACCAACATTAAAAATAAATTAAAAAACCTGTGCACCTTGACTCTCAAAAATAACCTCAGCCAGGCAAATTGGAAATAAGTCATTTCAGCCAGCTCTTGCTATGTTGGTCTACAAAATGCATCAGTCAGTCAGAGAATGGCCAGGTGAGCGCCTAGAGCATGCTGGGAATGATAGCAATCTTACCTTAAATGAGGGGGAGAGGTAGTTTTTGAGGAACCAGAACTTGACTGGGGTTTTGGTGTGTTGAAGGACAGAGAGCATCATTATTCTATAAGGGGAAAATTGGGAAGTACAAATACGTGAAGAGTTGAAGATGACACTGACATGGGTGCATGGGTGCAAGTGGTGGTCCTACCTCAGGAAGCGCTCATATAAATGTCCAGAGGCCACTGAGAAAATGTTGAGAACGTCTTTCTTCTTGTCATCCTCGTCCACGCTCGGGCCACCGGCAAAGCTGCAAGACACCCAAAAAACACACACTTATCTAAAAAAACTCGGCACAGCAACAAGGATATAGCTCTGCTAATAATCTGTAATAACAGGATTATGTGGACTATTTGTCGATTACAAAAGCTGAATTTTCAGCAGCCATTACTCCAGGCTTCAGTGTCACATGATCCTTTCAAAATCATTCTAATATGCTGATTTGAAAGTGACATGAAAGTGACGTGACATGTGGCCAAGTATGGTGATCCATACTCGGAATTAGTGCTCTGCATTTATCCCATCCAAAGTGCACACACACAGCAGTAAACACACACACACCGTGAACACACACCCGGAGCAGTGGGCAGCCATTTTTTGCTGCGGCGCCCGGGGAGCAGTTCGGGGTTCGGTGCCTTGCTCAAGGGCACCTCAGTCGTGGTATTGAAGGTGGGAGAGAGCGCTGTACATTCACTCCCCCCACCTACAATCCCTGCCGGTACGAGACTCGAACCCGCAACCTTTTTGGGTTACGAGTCCGACTCTCTAACCATTAGTCCACGATAGGGCTGCACGATAAATGACGAGCTGACGAGCTGCGCAAAACCACGTTCATATTCGCGCGATTTTTTGCCCAGCTAGTCAGTGAACAACGGCTCTGTGTAGTTAATGCTGCTCAATGTGAAAGCACGCAGGTGATGGAGATTTACCGCTGATTACAGAACCGGCTTTCTGACAAGATGCGCATTAAATATCGCATGCGATTTATCGTGCAGCCCTAGTCCACGACTTCCCCAGATCTGCTGCTCAAGAAACTTTTTTTTTTATTAGCAAAGCTGAAAACAGTTGTGCTGCTTAATATTTTTGTAGTAACTGTGATAAACTTTTTTCAGGATTCTTTTAAATGGTTCAAAAGAACAGCATTTTTTCAAATAGATTTTTTAAATGAAATTCGGTATCAAAATATGAAACTAAATGGAATCTTTAAGTAAATGATGCTAGACCATCTCTTGGCAATAACTTGCCAAGTTGTTGGTTCAGCCTAATAGGTTTTGAGACCGCACAAGTGATTTTATTTTATTTCATGTCGACAAAGAATTCTGTATGTATGTTCTGAGGTGGTTCAGAGATTTCTGAAGATCTCAACCTCAATCATTACCACAAAACAAAACCAAGTGCCATCTGTAGCTTTCCACAACCACCCTAGCCAAGATCTCACCTATTGCTGCCTTCACACAGATATTCACATTAGACCATTTTTTTTAATAGCAAGCATCACACCTTTGGAACATTTCGGTCTCCTGTTTCCAAGCTACATATTTCCCAATAAAAAAGGTGAGATGAGGTTTGTTTAATAATGTGGAATGGAGGTGATGTAACCCTGCTGAGACAAGGTGGAATTTTTAAAAAACCTGGCAAACTATTTCTAATTGTGGAGAATGATTTGTAAAAATCAAGCTGAGGGGAAACTCAGTGAAAAAGATGGATCACAGATAACTAACTGAAATTCTGTTGTGTCACTTACTGACACAAGAAAAAGTGAGTAAAAGAAAAAAGTGAAACATTTAGAGATCAAGTTCCCTACCTTTTCTCCAAAGAACTCCACACACTTCTCAAAGACAGCAATGAACAAAGGAGACAGATCACAAAACGTAATAAACAGCTGTTAATTAAAATGCAAACCCTCGGCATTTTAATATGCAAAATATACACTACTGTTCAAGTCTGGGGTCAGTAAGTTTATACAAAGAAATGAATACTTATATACAGAAAGGATGCATTAAATTGATCAAAAGTGACATTTATACTGTTAGAAATGATTTTTATTTCAAATAAATGCTGTTCTTTTGAACTGTCTATTTGTCAAAGAATCCTGAAAATGTATCACAGTTTTCACAAGCATCATGTGACATTGAAGCCTGGAGTAACGGCTGTTGAAATTTGAGCTTTTGCTATGAAACTGAGCTTTGCTATGATAAATTACATTAATTTTACATATGTATTAAAACAGAAAACACTTATTTTACACAGGAATAATATTTCACAACAGTACAGTTTTTAATGTATCTTGATCAAATAAATGCAGCTTAGATGAACATAAGAGGTTTCTTTCAAAAACATGTAACAATTTTACAACCCCCAAACTTTTGAATGGTATTGTGTGTATTTACATAGACACAAACAGTCATAGACAGGCCTACCCAGGATCTGCAGATCCTTTTTCACACTGGCTATAGAGATTTTTGCAGAACTTGATGAATGAATCTGTTATCAAACTATCCAAAAAAGAACTTTGGACTTTCACGTTCTGTAGATTCTATGCAGACCCAGCCATAGCAAAGATCTTGCAGTCTGTTTTTCAGTGATATTTTTTGTGATTATTTAGAAATTTAAAGTGTTGTTCCCCTCTAGCTTTTTAAGAAGTGATCTAAGATGTGATTAGTGCTTCAAAAATCAGACTCACCTGGTTATGGAATCCCACAAGCCTTTGGATTCTGTTCCTTCACTTAGAAGATCCTCATTGAGTTTGTCAGGCTTTTTCTGGACCTAATATTTGAATAGATGTTACTTTTTCATTGGTCCCATCAGCTGGTGTTTTATATGGAGGCATAATAGATTGTGAATACTATAATAACATTACAAACTTACTCTAACTTTGATGATCTTGCTGTGGAAGCTGTTAAGCACCACAATGACATCACCAGCATCAACAGGAGAGTCCGTGCCATCATGTCTAAAACATACATACACAACACTATATGATCACAAATATACTTTATGTGCACTTCCTGAAGGAAATATCAGTGCTTACAATTCAGCAAATCAAGCATGTTAAAATTTACAGACCTGTAACTCTAAATACACAAGGCTTACTTTATCTACTAAAGTTTGAATGGTGTCTATAGGTTTTGCAGTTGAATTTCAGATTAATTAAATTGCATTAAACCTAAGATGATGAACAAAAACAATGCAGAAGAAGAAGAAGAAGGGGAAGAACAACAACAATAGAAAAACAACAAAATGACAAAATAAAAAAAACTAGAACAAGTACAAGACAAACAGAAAAACAACAACAAAGACAAAAAATAAACAGAATAACTACAAGAACAATATAAACAGAAGAACAAGAAAACGAACAATAACAAGGATAAAATAAACAGAAAAAGAACAATAAGGACAAAATAAACAGAAGAACAACAAGAAAAAGATGAACAGAAAAACAATAACATCAGCCAGGAGAAGATAAACAGAATAATGACGATTACAATACATACAGAAGAACAACACAGAGGAGAAGAAAACAATGAACAAAACAAAAATGACAACAAAGAACAAGGACAAAAGAATGAATATGATGAAGAAAAACAACAAAAAAAAGGGCAAGAACAAGAAGAAGAGGGACATGAAGAAGTACGATAAGAACAACAAGGATGAAAAACAATGAAGAAGATGAAGAACAGCTAGTAAATAATTTGAGGAATATCAATAGTTCTGCCTTGCAATCACTGTAATTACTCTGATTCCTCACCAATGACTCACAATTCAATACTGGATTTATTTTGAGCGTTCCTTTTGTCAAGTTGTTCATGTCTCAGAAAAAAAGTTGTGATGACATGAAAGCATAATAAATGTCCAGTGATTCAGGACACAGAGTGCCATTAGCTCTGGCATCATAAATGAAACCCTGGATCCATTAGGCTGCACTTCCTCAGAACAGGATATCAGTGAATTGCACGTTGACAAAACACTGCCTTTCCATTCATTTAGCAGTCAGCAGTGTGTGTCTGAGAGATACTTTCTTTTTCTCTCTCACACACACCCTCTTCTCAGTTGGTTTTGTTTTGTGCCAGACCTCAGACTGTATGAATAATCACACTAGCAGTGTGAAAAATGACACTGCGCTCTAACTTTAACCTGAATGAATGGGGTATAAATTTTCCTGTCTTCATTAATTCTCAAAGAAAAAAACAACCATGTTTCCTTAAAGAACTGCTAAAATGTGCACAATCAGAAGAAGGAATGAAAATTGATGACAAGCATTTTAGAGTTTTGATGTGGACTATTAGTTTGAGTGTGGCCTTTTCTTTTTGTCCTTTATTTTGGATGGTATCGGTATTCCTCGTACAGCCTCGCTAGCAGACCCAAGGTGACAGGTTTGACTCCCAGAGAATGCATGCGCTGATAAAAATACGTAACTTTAAAGGATTTTAAATCAACGTGGAAACAAGATATGCCAAATGTAACCTAACTTTCAAACGTTTGGGGTCAGTAAGATTTATTTATTTTTTTTAAAGAAATTAATATATCCAGAAAGGATGCATTAACTTGATAAAAAGTGACAGTAAAAGACATTTATAAAGTAACAAAGATTTCTATTTCATATAAATGCTGTTCTTCTGAACTTTATATTCATCAAAAAATGATTGCCCAGACTGAAAATCGAGGCAAAAAACTGGGCAAAAGTAAATTCATTCCAGCTTTTAGAATGATTTCTGAAAGATTATGTGACACTGAAAACTGAAAACTTACCTTTACCACAACAGGAATATATCATTACATATTACAATTTAAAATAGCTCTTTTAAATACAAAGTTCTGGCATGAAACTCTAGATGGCGCAGTCCGATAGATCTAACTCAATATGACAATGACATCATTATCACGTCACATCTGATTGGTTCTCTCTTGTATTGGTAGCCAATGAGCTCGCTGCTCAACATTCAAAAACTTGGCCAATGCTTGTGGTAGCAGCTGCAGCGCACTTCAGAATCCCTCCACCTTCCCCAGCTCCACCTGTATAGATCTGCTTCGGGGTGATCATGTATGCTATGAGGGTTATTCATATAAGTTACATGTGGAGCAACTGTATTTCTTACATGCTCACAGCAGCATGTTGTGGATGTATTGGCAGTAGCAAGTCTCGGTACGTGCTCTGCTGCACCACCAGCAGCATAGCAGATCTATTCCGCCAAGACCAAATACATTAACATTGTTATGTACATTCCCACGCCAATCCCTCCGAGAGTTGTCATGACAGAACTGTATTTTTGTTCAAATAAATGCAGCCTTGGTAAACATGAGATTAAAAAAACAACAACTGAAAAATCTTACTGACCACTAAACTTCTGAACATTAGTATGTAAAAGTAAACCTGTGAACAGAAAAAAAATCTCACGCTTGTATCTGATAGATGTCCTCTGAGCGGCCCTCACGCAACCTCAAGATCCAGGCACCGGGGTTGGCCTTCAACTGGAAATAGCCCTGTGAAATGCAGTGGGTTAGCTTTTGCTTTTGTGTACCACAGAAGAACATCAGTCATACAAGTTTGGAATGACATAAAGGTGGGTTAATGATGCGAGAAATCTCATTTTGGGTCAATGTAACTCTTACCAAACTAGGAAGATTCCTAGTACAATAAATACAACATATATTCAGGAAAAAGCAAAGAAGAGAGAATAAACTCACCAGGTTGGCCATGACAATGGTGTCATGCATGAGAGGTTCCCGTCTCATGCCCAGTGTAAACTGAAGTCCTCTGGGAGGCTGACCTGTGGACAGGTCAAAACAGTGGCCCTCCAACAGCAGATACTCAAGCTCATACTCTGCATTGACTATACCACTGACCTGACAAAACAGTAGAAAAAGACTAATTTATCCATCCAAATCCATCATACTGACACTAAACATCTTTTTCTTGGAGATTCTGGCTGATCAGGACACATGTGAACATTTCATAGCACTATTGCAGCAACTGTGCAGTCTGAACTACAAAAAACTAATCACGTGCACTACTCAGCATTGGTAAATGTATAAATACTGCAATTAGAGTTAGAATTCATACCTCCTGTAGGTGGATGTTATCTAGATCATATGGGCTCCTGACCGCCTCTACCATCCAGCTCTCTGGGGTGATCATATATAGAGTGAGCAGAGGGGATTCTGGGATTTCAGTAAAGCGGGCCACAGGGCCAGGGGAAAGGGAGTTGTTGCCAAAGAATGAAACATCCGGTTCCAAAACATAGCGATAAAAGCTGCCAGAAAGACAATGGAAATGTGAAATGTATAAAACATCAATCTTATAAACCAAACTGGTGATATGTTGTTATTTGGGAATAGCTAGGAATTCCATGACAAAATATTTTCAGTATACTTCTAATCTATACTTCTAAATTTGACTTCAGCTTCTTTTGGGAATAAACCAAGTATGATTAGTTATTAACTAATTTTTTACCTTTATTTGTATTACTGATTTTCAGGAATATTATTTGCATAATATTAAAGAAAGAGAGGGAAAAAACAAAATAATAAAATAACTAAAATAACAGGACAAGGGATATACATTCTGATTTTGAGGTAAGTGTAGTTTAACAAATTCAGATTATGGTTTACATTATAATACTCCACCCATTTCTTCCAATATTAACAAAAAAAAAAAGTTTTCTTTCCCGCAGCATGAGATCACAATTTCTCTAAGTTTCATATCAATTTCTATGAAATGCAGGTGTCTTAAATCAGTGCAGCTGCGCTAAGATGTTTCACCACATCTTTTTTTTATACATCAGCTAAGGGGTAGTCGGTCCACAGAAAATATAAAACTCACAGATCAGGGGCTATCAAACTCCAAAAAGAGCTTCTAAACTGTTGCATTAGTCCTTAGCTCTGCAGATTATATATAAAAAAAAAAAAGTGCTTTGTATTGAAACCATGACCCCCCCCCCCGGACTTCACATTAACCATTTCAACCACTGAACTCTGTTAAAAAACAAAAAACAAGATAATACCTGCAGAACATCACTTGCTGCTATATATATGTGTGTGTGTCCGACCCTCTCAGAGCTGAAGTTTAATTAAGCTTTTGCGCTCACCTCTTCAGGGGCATCTCAGACAGCTTGGCTCGACAGTTCATGAACACCTGCACTTTCATATTGACCACTTGACCAAGCACCTGCAGCACACACAGAGGAGAAGGCCTGGTTATTAACCACTCACACACTCACAAACAACAGGATTCAGGAGGGAAGGCTCCAGGTCACGCTCCACAGGACCGCATACAGATGAGCCAACCGCTCTCATTTCACGTTCTACATCTATATAAAAAAGTTCTTTAAGGATCCACAGACCATAAAAAAACAATGAAACGAATAGGAGGTTGGACATTAAGAATTATTTATTCTGCAATGACAAAGCTCATTGTCTCTCAGCTGAATCTCAAACAAACAAGGCCTGAGGAACAATACAAACTTAGACGTGACCAAAGTTGTACGTACAACTAATAAAGGAGCCAACTTCTGTGCATCTCTGGTGAGAGGATCCACGATGGCAACCACATCATAGAACACCTCATCTTCCCGCTGTGCCAGCTGAAGAACGCTGTTAAAAGATACATCTGGTCAGCTTGATTCATTGGTAGTGTTGCGTTAATGAGAAAAACGGAAGTAGAGGCTTTTAACATACTGATAATGCAAATGGACTACTTCAGTGTCACAATTAGCTGTGAATATGCATAAATAATAAGAGGAGCTGATCATAGCCATGGAAACCCAGTTGGGTGGAAGGGGTTTATGTTTGAATATGCAGCTGACTCACACTTTCATTGAGTGAGTTGTCTGACCAATTTGTGATTTAGTTTCAGACCCATTTATGAACCGATAAGAGTGATTAATTGAAAAGAACCGACTCAAAGGATACATTTACAAAGCAGACATCATCACTGAGACACTTATGCAACCATGTTATTTTCTATGGTCTGCAGTCACAAAAGCGGCAAAAGAGTCTGGTGAAATGCATTGGGGTGAAAGTATTTATTTTCTTTTTAAAATACGGACAGTCTTAGTACTGCACCTGTGTTTGTCCTTCAGAAATTTGACGTCTTTCCTGGCCTCTCCTTTAGGTGATACAGTGAGGAGAGCGTCTACTTTCATGATTAGATCACTGGCCCTGTGAAGAGCAATAACAGGTTTCAGTTTGCCTCTCACAAACAAATAATATTACATCTACAGTCATATCGGCTTGGGGTGACAAGCAAAAACACAGCATACTTTTGGGCATTCAAGTTCATCTGCTTGATCTTAGATTTAATTTTTTCTGCTGAAGTGCGAAGTGTGATCTTCTCTAGCAGATGGAAATCTTCCACACTGAACTCTTCTTCCTCATCCAGTAGGCTCAGGACCTAGTGAAGACATTGAGCTCATTGTTAGTCAGAAGTGACGTTCGGTGGAAGTCACAGGCGGAATTTCAGTCTGCATCTACTATCAGCACCACGGGTCTAAAGTGTCAGAGCGTGTGTGCTTACTGCTTACCATTGTACAGCGGCTCAAACTTCTACACCCAGAACACTTCAAAACCACCCATATCCAAATAAGAGAGACAGTCATTTATATGCATGTCCATAGCAGAACATTTTTAATGCTAATCAAAGCAAGGCCAACCGCCAGACTGTCGCTCTGGCTTTTAATATCAACATGTTTTTGTTTTTTTCACCCTGAATGTACTCTCGAGTTTTTTAACACAGAATATGAAAGTTAACCAACCTTTCATTTCTTGCTAATTTTGTTTTGCATCTTTTCGTTTACATTTGGCTAGTGGACCATGTCATCTGCAGAGCAAAACCCTTTAATGGTTTAGAGCCAATTAGACTGCAGCTAAAAGAAATGAATGACAAATACCTCATATGCCTCAAAAGTGAGTATATATATATATATATATATATATATATATATAAATATATATATAAAAATCTAATGTTTTTGTAGTAATATATAATTTTAAATAACTGTATATAATAAATATCATTACAAAACTATTGTGCCTGTATTAGAAATGTATATTATTTAGCCCATATTTAAAAATTTATTATATACAATTATCTAAAATAATATATTACTACAAAAACATTATATATATATATATATAATATATATACACACACACACACACACATATATATATAAGTGTACATTTTTATATCAGTTACAAAATCATTGTGCCTGTATTAGAAATGTCTATTATTTTACCCATATTTTAATATTTACCAAAAAAAAATGTTAATATAAATTTTTATATCAGTTACAAAATCATTGTGCCTGTATTAAAAATGTAATTATTTTGCTCATATTTCAATATTTATTAATAAATAAATAAATAACATAAATGAACAAACATAAAACATTAAATGTTATATAAATATACTTCAAAATGTTATAAAAAATACTTAAATATATATTTTAGCCCTGTTTTATATGAACTATCTAATAAACCCAAAGAAAATAGCGGAAATTATGAAACCATAGTTTTTTTTAGGATGAAGAAAAATTCTGGGGATCACTTTGGTGTGTTGGAGAATGATGGAATGTCACTGATGTTTCAGGCTGCAGCCCATTTTGTGCTTGTCTGTCAACAAAGACTCTGCTGAAAAAGCACGACCCCTGCAGCAGAGGATGCTGAGTGGACGCTGGTGAATTAATGCCAGGCTTCATCTCTCTCTTCTCCTCACAGGTTAGGACAGGCCAAGCAAACTGCTTAATACTGAGTCAACAAAATGAGCGGTCCCATGTGAGGGACCAACTGGTGAGACCTTAGAGTTCAGACTATTCATCATCCAGATCAGCGGTCTGTACCATAGGTCATTAGGCTATAAATGATTTCATAACTCCCATGGAAATTTTCTTTAGTTGACCAAAGGAGGAGGGGTTGTTTGTGAATCTCACCCTGCCGTTGCTGACTACAGCGCTCTGTCCGGCTTTCAGCTTCAGAACTTCCTTACAGTACTTCTGCTGGCTGTGCAGGAAGTCCACCTCCATCATGTTGAACTTCTTCTCAAAGGCATCATGGTCCATACCCTAAAGGAGACCAAACACATATTTAACACTTAAATACCTGAAAAAGGCAACATACATAATTACTACTTGGAAGAAAAAAATCAGCAGCTACTAGCATACTTCAGTCTTTGATATCACATGATCTTCCAGAAATCATTGTAATATATGCTGATTTGTTGCTCAAGAAACATTTATTATTATTACCAATGTTGAAAACAGCTATATACCTACTATACAGTACGTTTATGTATAATACATACTGAATCTTTACTGACATAACGAATAATTATTTTCAGAATAATAATTCTTCTGAATAAATATCGCACTGAAGACATAGGGGGTGAAATCTTGTGCGACCCCTGGTTTGGGGTCCCCTGAGTTGAGCTAAGTGTAGTAAAAATGTGGAAAGAACAAATCGATCAGCTCATTAGTTTGTTTTTTGATTACACTGCAATGAGGAAATAGTCAATCGGTGAGTTATTGACAACAAAAGAGGGCACATTTGTGCAAGTGCAGTCATTAGAGTATTTTGAGAGGAGTATTAAATTGTCTAGACCTATGAAAAATGTGTTGCCATTGGAGACCGTGTAGCGCTAATCAATCATTAAACATTTTCATTTATCAGACTTGTAATGAAAAATGGCTTCAGTGCCAATAACAAATCTCGGGTGTATGAGCTGTGCAGAGTCAGATTATTAGTGATTCCAGCATTTGGCCCTTATGAAAAGGAACGAAATGCTAATATCAGCACAACACCTCTCCCTGCCATCCAATAAGAGCCATTACAGGTCCTAGACACGAGCTCTCAGGGAACCAAGAATCTCTCTCCAACCATTTTCAACTAATAAAACTCAGGAATGCCGGGTTGGATGGAACACTTTCTCTTATCTTATATGTTACGATGGAAATAAAAAGAAGGAGCAGAACAACAAAATAACAAGAGGACAGAAAGAATCAAAAGAAAGCTCTCCATGTATCTTACAGACCAATCAGATTTTCTGAGAGTTGCAATACTCTGTCAATAAGACCCTAGATTCCAATTGCGGTTGTAGGAGATACAGGGCAGCCATTCCCAGAAATGTAGTTTGTGTGCAAGTCTGAGAAAATTACATGTGGTTGAGTCGTTTTCATTGGATGTGGTGATGGGGTGAAGGCACACCATGGAAAAGAAGAGAGGCCCTGCTTGTGTCATTTCATGGTGATGACAGGAGGAAACTATAAAAGTTGTTGTGTGCTTTGGAAGACACAAGCCTTCTAGACTGCAAGTGGGAGGACAAAAGCTACTATGTACTAAGAAAACACATTAAATGAAAGCAATACATCATAAAAGGCAGTGCATTACAATGATTTTAACAATTAAAAAGTGTTGAAACTATGTAAAAGATCAATTTATATTACAGCTAATGATGCACCATATATCTGTATTATATTGGTTACTGCACAATATTAAGATTAAATGTTTTACTTTTATCAGTATATAATAGAATGGATATTGTATGTATCCATTCTATTATATACTGATACAAATAAAACATTTAATTAGTGTATATACATACATATATATATACACACACACACACATATGTATATATACATATATATGTATGGAACGATATTCCGGAAAATTTTCAAAAGGAATTGCAAATTGTATTTTCAATTGCGTTTTCAATATGTGGACGCATAAATTGCCACATATTGAAAACGCAATTGAAAATACAATTTGCAATTCCTTTTTAAAATTGTCCGGAATATCGTTCCATATATATGCATGTATGTATGTATATATATATATATATATATATATATATTACATACACACACACACACATATATATTGTCCATATGGATATGTAATCTTTTTAAAATTAATATCCATCTTTTATACTGTACATTATAAGGTTGTGATGTCTAAATTCACTCGTAGTACTTGTAACAATGTAGAACTGTAATATCAGCCATGTTTATTGGCTTTTCCGTATTGACCAGAAATTTAATATCGGTGCACCTCTAATATATTTTTTATTTTTTTATAGTTGTATAAAATATTCTTTCTCCAAAATCTGGTTGTATCTTGAGGTCATTCATCTGCATCAATATAATTCTATAATAATCTTGCAGCCATAAACAGCCAACATGGAATTATGTATTTCTGTAATATACTTTCTGGTCTTTCAAATCAGACTGACAGGAGAATGGCACATTTCCAGCAACTTAACTCAAGTGACATAAATTAAAATGGAAAAAGACAGACAGGCTAGAAAAGAACAGGTGTGTTAAGATAAATCCAAGTCAAAATGCTCTACACATAATTCCACATTACCCAGACACAGTATTTCACACTCCACTGACCTGTTTAAGTAAGTGCTTAATCTTGGTGCCTTGTTTGAGGAGCTCCACATTTTCTTCTTTGAGGAGTTTTAGGGTGAAGTCGAGCATGTTCTTGCTGCTTTGGGTGAGGAGAGAAGCCCAGACGGCTCGGTACAGAGCGCTGTTGTCCTCTGTGGGCTTTCCACTGGGGTTATTGATCACCCCGACACGACAGTTGGAGCTGCTGGATTTCTACAAACAAACACTGGATTAGAGACTCTCTCCAAAAGGAGACCACAGCAAACCAGTAACATAAACTATGCGATTATGAATGTCTTAAACATTTGGGTAAGTTTACTTAACAAAATGAAACAGTGATCATCATATAGAGATTTTGGGAGGAAGAATTGTGATATTAGTAAAGTCACTTGTATGTAAAAACAAAAAAAAAAACAGATTTGATTCAATGAAACATTTGGGAGCTAACTGGCACTAACTGTTTTTTTTTACAATAATATTGCGATTTTTAAAATGTATACTTAAAAAAACATTCAAAATGGGGATTACTCTGCATTGTACTTTGTGTGTGTGTGTATATATATATATATATATATATCAATTGGATCATTAACTCTGGATTTTGTTCATTAACCAACACCAGAAGAATGCTTTCAAAGATGAATTGCTCTCAGATTAATTACTAAGATGCACGTGTACTTCTGCTCTCTGAAGATGCGATTCCTGTGGTTACAACTAATTGGAAATAAAAACTGCAGTAGTTTACCATATGTTTCAAGGCGTTCCGGAGCAACTGCCTCCTAGAGGGCTGTTCAATATCTGCTACAATCCACATGGTCACTCCGTACAACACCTCCTCTTCTAAAGAAGAAGTAAAAGAATGTTACTTAAAGTCCCCATGAAATCAAAATTAAATTTTTTTGGGTGTTAGTATCAATATGTTAGTCTAATGCTTTTTAGAAAAACACAGTTTGGATAGGTTTTTAGCTAAGAAGTCTACATGTATTGTGTTAAATTATTGAAAGTAACATTAAACCAACAATGTAATGTTAATTATGATGTTATACTAGCAGTATTGGCAGTGCACTGTCAAACACTTGACAATTGATGGCAGCTACTAAAAACATTATAAAATATAAAACCCCTCACAAAATATAAATTAAAAAGTCACGACTCACCATCTCTGATGAAATACTTCATTTTCTTAGAGACAACTGCTGTTTTGTCTTTCGAGTCCAAGTATGAGAACATAGTTGTGTCATCCCAGTCATCAGCAACTATTTGTTCAATTATAACAGACATTATTAAGGCAGTTAATAATGAACACTGTAAAGGTATGGGTAATGATATGTTGATGATCGTGATGTGACAAAATAATTGTGAAGGAGATTGCAGAGTGTGACCGTGACAGTGACAATGATATGGTGAGATGACAGATCAATATTGGCACTGGTTTGGGTCAGGTGATCATTAAAGGGCTACCTGGTGAGGAAGTGAAATCCAGATATCGCCTCTCAGAGCTCAGAATGAGAGGGTTGATACGGGGAACTACATTGGTCTGCTCCATTAGGAAGTCCACCACATCAACACTCTCAGTGATCTGACCCTGGATATGACAGGAAACGCCTTAGAACTTGCTAACCAACCACATTTAAAGGATTACAGTCAACAAATCACATCACACAGATGTATGCGTGACAAAAATAAATGGTCAAACCAATGAATTTGAAGAAACACAGTAAGAGATATAAAGCCAAAAAAGGTACCCAACCATAAAGACAGCTCTCTGGAAGAAGTTGGTAGTTTCCATGATTTTCTGCAGAAGAACCATCTCTAGTTCTTTTGGGTCCATCTCCTCACTTCTGAGTGGAATACCATTGAACAGACCCACTGGTAAAGCACCTAAACCACTCTTTCTGTAAAACCCTCCTCCAGCCTGAAAAAACACATCATACTAAACATTCATAAAGGCACTGACATCTATTTCCGAATTAAATCTTATGTCCCTGATTTCCTAGGAATTTTCAACAAGCAGTGGTTTATATTTACCAATGCTATGAAAACCATCTTGCCATTTTTTAAGTTGTATTTCAATTATAAAAATGCAATGTGCACTGAAAATATTTTGTATGTAATTCTCTGCACATTAAACTTGGGAATTTTAAAAGGAAATGTACATACAGCAGTTTAAGCTGACATTTTTTTTGGTCATCACAGAGCACATACTGTAACACTGTGTAATAGCATTACCTTTCTGTTGTCATCATAGCTTGAGTCCACTCCAAGAATTCTGGCAGCATTTGCTTTTGGAAATTTCTTTTTCAGATATGCAGTTACTGTATCCACAGAAAGAGTCTCTCCAACTTCCACCCTGTTAAATATCTGGATTTTACAAAAAAAAACAATAGAATTTAATGACCAAATTAGTACATTTACGTTCACAGAAGACATCTTTGGATATCCCTCCTTCCTCGTCCATAAAATGAATGTCTTGAACAAAAGAATGTGTACAGTACATTATAACTGAAAATATCTGCTATAGTACACAGTATAAACCAGGCCTTCAAATATTAATACCTTAATGTGAAGGAGAAGCCTAAAGTAACATTAAAGTCATTTTGATTTGAAAGAGAGTCAGAGAAACCACAAAGATACTCACTGACACCATGGACGTAAAAGCCTGTGCTTCATCATACTCCTCTGAGATGTAGTTTAACAGCCTAAAGAGAGCAACACCTGCATCCAAAAACCCATCCACTTTATCATCCGCACTGACAACCAGCACAAACCCAATCCTAAGCGACACGGAAACATAAATGCATATCAAATCTGGCATAAAATCTCACCAACCATAAAATTATCAACAAATAAAACTGAACAGTACCAAAGGGCTCATGAATGTTAAGTAAGGCATAACGTCAGCTGCTAATTACATGGTTACTTACCAAACAGATAAAAATGGACATGAAATATTGATTTGAGTTGAAATTATACGTAAGAAACCATTAAGTGACATGAAAATAGCAGAGCTATATAAGGAATTTTCTGTGACAATGGTCCATTACACAGTTTAGCAGTCATTATTCAAAAGTTAACAATCAGAATCCCATATTTCAGTACAAGTCATATATATAACTGAAAAAATGCTAAGGTTCAAGTAAAATGAATTAAATGCTATTGTGGAGTGCACAAACCTCAGAGGAATGTTATGTTTGTAAAATAGTTCTGCTAATTTCACCAGCTCAATGCTCTCTTCTTGTATTGCGTCAAGAAACAGAACCTGCAAACAACAAATAAAACCATTTTTCATTCTTTCACAAATTAGAATTAGAATGAACAAATTCATACAAATTGGGTCTGCAGCAGTGCTAAAAAAGTGGGGCATCCGGGGATAAACATCCCTGCATGAACCTGCGCACACAGCTAGATTTCAGCTTAGACTATAATCAACTCACGTCACAAGCAAGTTGACTCACCAGGTTATAGAAGTTACGGCGTATTTGTCGAATAACTCCAGGAAATGTTGCTCTGAGGAGCTCTTGGACACTTGAGGGCCAGTGACGATACATGCAGTCCTTCTCAATATCATTAGCCCACTAGAAAATGACAGACATTTGTTACATTGTGAAAGCCTTTATGTGAGCAGTGAACACCCATTTTATCTGCAGCTTGGGTTCCATAAGTATTTTATCCATTTAACTTTAGCATTAGCAAAAATGAAACAAACAAAAAAAATCACGACATTTGATTCAAAATTGATACTTGGCAAGAAGCTCCAAGAAGCTCATGACAGGTCATTAAAAGGTCTTAAAAGGTTCTATTATACATTAATCAGTTAGTACTAAAACCAATTTCTCTATGTAGACTTAAATCATGGTATTTTACTTCCAGAATTCCAGAGCTCTACAACCACACTCAAATAATTAGCGTCTTACCATAATGGATGAGTGGCGGATGTCCAGAGCGTAGCTGTCCTCTACAGTGGTTGATGATGGTAAATGCAGGAACTTACTAACGCTGCTTCCTCTGATGCCAAGGTTATGAAGACCTTCGAGAATCTTAGCCTCGGTTCTGAGAATGTCCAGGATGCTACAGAGCATTCGAGAATGAACAAATTTACAGAATGAGTTTAACATACATAAAACATGTTGAGGAACGTTAGTGGTCCCAATTACCATTTGGTAAGAGATCATACCTGAAAGGGTTATGAATGTCCAGGTCAACGTGTATTCCATTAATAAACAGACTGACATCTCCAGGTTGGATCCCCATCGACTCACTCAACCTCTGAAATTTAAGGACCCGTCAGCTACGCCATCACTTTATGGACTTCACATCATTCAGTATGGACATGATTTGCTGAAACATGATCTTTTTGTATTGGATTCTTCATCTGAGACTCTCAAGACACTCCAGAGTACTCATCAAACTTAGAGAGGACATGTTTAATTTTCTAAAAATAAATCACAAAAATCCTGGCCCACATGGCTGCACTTGAAACTTTTTTTTTACAGTGCTCATCAGAAAAGCTGTTGATAAAACCTTACCTTTTGAGTGTCTTCTATTTCTTTCCTCATGTCTTGGTTTACAGCCACTCTTGTCAGTGATCTGTGGGGACAGTAAAACATGTACAGTCAGTACCATCTCCCGCCAACATCCCAGAACAGTCATAAAAACTAATTTTAATCTCAGAAAACCTGTTCCCTCTTAGACGCCATATCTGCTATGCTGACAAACTGTAAACCACAGTAACTCTGACTCAGCAAATTCTGAACACCGCACATAAAGCTGTCTTGAGCAGCAGTGGAGGAAAGTCACAGTCACACATTAAAAATGACCTACACATAATGCATATGCATGCATTCTGTGCTGTTATACATGCAAAAATGCATAGTTGAGTATTCTACAACAATAACGGTTACAAATATTCCTGTTCTCAACATTTTTAATGTTTACATTATTTTCTTTTAATTATTGGACTTAAGGATTCTATAAGGATGAACCTTTTAAAAGGCAACATTGGTGTAAATCTTTCCTTTTTTCTTTTTGAGTTCTGAGTTCTGATGCAAAGAGTTGTAACAAAGGTAATGATTTCTGTCTAGGATTTTTTCTTAGAGAAACCAAGACTGAATTTCAGACTTTTTACCTGGCTCTGCTTGGGAAATTTTGGCTGAGGTCTTGCATCAATTTGAGAGAATCAAACTTTGGCACAGTCATGATCCGAGATGCCGCCTGGAAACTAAGGTCTATTGGAAAGACAGAAAAAGGCATTTCAAAATCTTTGTTAAAAGAGCCAATAATCCATGAAAAATGCCTGCAATGCAAGAGTTAGTTAAAACTATTCATAATTAAAATATAAATCTAAAATTTTGTAATTAAACGAACAGCTGAATTCAACATTGTCATAATTTACTTGTACACAAACACAAGATCATTTTGAAGAATCTATGGCTGTTCTCTTCTATGCAATTACACTGAACGGGGACAAGAGCTTTCAAGTTTCATGATGAAAGGGTATCAAAAGTATTTCACACAACATACAACAGTTTTTATGATGAACATTTTGAAATTTAACATATGCCCTAGCTCTCCTTAATGCATTCATCTTAAACGCAGCAATTTTTGATTTGTGAATGAATCTGGATGAATGAGCTTCATTATTATAATAATTATAATAGGATACATTATGGTATGGAAAACAGTGAAATTTTTTTGTGTTCCAAGAAAGAAAGAACATCATACAGGTTTAGAACAACATAAGAATAAGTACAATATGTTTTCATTTTTGGGAGAAGCAATTAAGAAATGTATTTTTGATGAGTGAAAACATTATGACTGTGGTTGCCATACAGCTTGATTTTTAAACTAGTCTATAGAGTCCAGACGAAAGGGTAAAAATTCCACATCAAAGTTATTACCACTTACAATTCCAAAAAGTTATCACAAAATCAAAGACTGTTTCAATAACCATCCTGATTACCATCATGAGAGCCCTTCATGTCAAGTAAAATAAATTGCTTCATTTATCTATCAGCGCAAAACAAAAACAGCTCTTATTTAGCCACTTTGCTCCAGGTCTTACAGTGCAAAATTGCACTTGGCTGTGAACATGAGCATCTGTTCAGAAGTCTGAAAAGGAATAGGACAGATCACTGCAGCAAGCAGACGGTACAAACTGCAACCTTTCCACTGCTTCCCAATTCATCAAGTGGACAGTTCTCTCCAGAAACCATGTGGATCGCTTTAATCTCACTGGGTGACACAGCACCGAGACCAGAACACCGTAAGAGAGGACCATCAATAACAGCAGCCTGCCCACCTTGGAGCTCCCACACTTTGAGGGGAGTCATGTCATTGGTGCTCTCCAGTAGATGCTTCCTCAGCTCTCTAAGTTCCTCCTGAAGCTCTGGGTGAGACTTTCTGGAGGTGAAAAAGAACACTGTGAGACACTGTTTCACATACTGTAATGTGCAAATGTTATTATTCCTTTTGATCTACTGTATGGATAGATATAAAAGGTATAACAAAGAGAAATAAATCAGAGTGCTTACTTTAATTTCCCAAACAGAAATCCTTGGACTTCATCATTTTCATCCTCATTATCAGTGGTGAGTGATTTGGATTCTGTAAACAAATTCAGGTGATGTCAGTTTCAAATTATTTGTTTCAATATCATTAGCTACTTCTATTTTATAGTGAACTTATTCTTTTCCAGGAAGTAGTTTCTCTACTACTAAATTTGTAGTTTCACTACTTTGAAACTACACTACCATTCAAAAGTCAGGGGTTGGTACACTTTTTTTAATGTTTTTTTTTAAAGATTATTTTATACTCACCAAGGTTCTATTTGTTTGATCAAATCAGAAATCATTCTAATGTACTGATTTGGTGCTCGATAAACATTTTGTAAATTACCGCTATTAACAACTGTGCTGCTTAAAATTTTGTGGAAACGGTGATAGATTTTTTCAGGATTCTTTGTTGAATAGAAAGTTCAAAAGAACAGCATTTACTGTATATGAAATACAAATATTATGTAACAATGAAAAGTCTTTGCTGTCACTTTTGGTTCATTTAATGTGTCCTTGCTGAATAACAGTATATTAATTTCTTCCAAAAAGTCTTATGGCGCTTTTCCACTGCATGGTACGGCACGGTACTGCTCGGTACGGTTCACTTTTGGGGGGTTTTCCACTGGGTACAGTACCTGGTACTTTTTTTAGTACCACCTCGGTTGGGGTTCCAAGTGAACCGTACCGTTACCAAAACGTGACGTGTAAACTCTGCTGATCACGGATTGGCCGGAGAGAATCGTCACTACCTGCGTTACTGAACTTGGACAGTGGACACAAACACAACAGAACTGCTAGATTTAAATCAGCACAGCCAGCCTCAAACATTTGAAGGGTAGTGCAGTTTGTCAAGCTACTCATAATTTAATGCATATTTCTTAACACTGACTATTAGAATAAAACTGTTATTGAGTTCTGTCATTTATTACTTATTATTATTTATTTGAGATTTTATGATACCTTTAACTTGTGTGTCGTCAACAGCTTTGTACTCGGTGCTTTTAATTGCCAGTTCAACACCATATCCAGACAGCAGCATCTTTTCATTTTTTGGCTCCTGTGGTGAGAAATCAGTGTGTGGGGCAACAGGTATTTACTATATGGCACAGACTCTAATAAATTCAGAAACTATATAAAACATTAAATCATGATGAAATTACACTGCTAATACTCACAGACACAAAGTGTCTTAGCACATAGATGAGTTTGCCCTCCTGTGCCCGCTCTGACAGAACCTTATGAAAAGTATTGAACTCCTTTGTGCCGATTTCAGCATAAAGAACAGCTACAGGCAGGTCTGTCCCATTGACTCCAGGGTACTGGTGGTCAGACTTGTATAGGTAAGGTCTTGGCCTGCATATGACACATAAAAGAAAGGTTATGAGAAACCACTTGATTTTGACACAACCCATGTATAGAAAAAATATTCCCCAAATATTTTTGAATACAGTATACTGTTGGCTAGTGTTACCTGCCTGCTGCAGTCTTCAAAAGCTTCTTCATATCCTTGGTGCTGCAGGCATTTTGACCGTGAACAACCACAAAAGCAGTGCAGCCATCAGGAGGAGGTTCATCACTTGCTATCTATAGATTAAGAACAAACGGCTAACAATACGTCTATGGGGTAAACCACATAATAGCAGTCATTTCAAATAGACAAATATTTTAAAAAGCTTCAGATTTATAAAAAAATACTTATGTACATATGTTATTGATAGTATACTAACTCTACTAAACCAGAAGTGTAAAGCATTTGGTTTTGTATGAAATCATTATTATGATACACAGAAAAGGACTCACTTGTTGGAAAGCATGCACAGCCGGTGAGTAAGCCCTGAGAGACAGAGACAGCTTCAGCAGGTTGACCTGAAGATCTGTCAAAAACTGCCCAGCCTTCTTGATGATCAGGTTATAATACGAGCGGACAGACTCTAAAGACAGGGAAGTACAGAGAATATCTGTCTCTGTATATTTTCCACTTATTGTGTAGTTTAACCAAACACAATCTTACATACCATTCAATGAATTAGGAATCAAAGCAGAGAAGATGAAATGTCAGTCATTACCTCCATTTTTGTAAACAGTTAACTCCTTCACAGTATTGACAAACTGCCAGAACTTCTCTTCACCATCCTCTCTGATGAACTCACTGCAATAAAAATAGATTTACAAAACAACAGATACATAAGACAAACGTAAAAAAACCTCTCAAAGTTTCGCTATAAAGAGATCACAGTAAAACAACATTTTAGGTGATTCAAGGCTATTAATTAAGGCAGCAAATTCTTATTAATTTGTATTAAATCTTATTAATAAATTAATTTTTGAATAATTCTAATAATAATGTCTACATTTTGTATCATTTCACATTAGAGTCCACATGAGATTTTTGCACTGTATCACACTGTAGGACTGCATGAAACTGTGATTAAATTGTGAACAACTGAAGAAATGGTAACTAGTTGAAACAGCTAAAACGTTCAATATCCATTATATACATTTTAAACTAAATACTTGATATTTAAAAAAGGTTAATATATGTACAAATAAACACATCAATTTTTATGCATGAAGTTGGTTATTTAAATATGAAGGGTAGCCAGTAAAATACTGAACTATGGGAGAATAAATACTCCAGCCCACCTTGTTTCCAGCAGGAGAGGGGTCATGGACCATTTAGCCTGAAGACTGGCGACGACTCCTTTAGACGCTGAGTGCACATGCTGGACCCTCAGCAAGACCAGCACAACAAAGACCACCCTCATGATCAGACACTGCTAAAAGAACATAAAGATAACACCATTGTAATTGTAATAATTAAGAAATATTTAAGAACAATTATTATTTGCATGCATGCATTTATAAAATGGCTAGAAATTGCAAAAAAGAAAAGAAAACTTTTATTGATGTTTTCATACATCAGAGAACAAATGGACATGTTGTCATAAAAACTCCTATTAATTGTTTTGTGCTTCGGAATTGCGATAACGTTAAAACTATAGGCCAAACTGTACATACAAATATTATGTAGAAGTTGGCCTTTTTTCTTGGGATAGTATTTTCAATATCACACAAAAATTGTATTTTCAAATCATTGTTCCCAGTGTAACAACTTATCCCATATATTGAGACGATAAACTATAGGCTCAATGTTTGTTAAATGAAATATATATTATTCCTGGACAATAACGTGATAATAAAACGTCTCAACAGAAAATAACTTCCATATTCACCTGAGCAAAAACTGGGAAATGTGAATTATTTTTTCATTAAAGTTAGTGTGAAGTATCGGTAAAACAAAGAAAGGACTTAACTGTCCAATAAAACGCCACGTAGCTACAATGTAACGTTATGTGTCGATTAGCTGCTACATAATTGTTACATTTTTTCGTTCTTTTACAGACATGAGCGTCACTGTAAAGCTACATACACTTCATGCAAATCAGATGAAACAGACTATGATTGTGATTGGTCATTCTTATGAATGAAGAAACAATAAGATGGGGAAAGGGATAAAAGACATCCAGCACAAACTGTTCAACCCCTATCAGCATTTCTTTCAGGAGCAATAACAACAAATTATTCAACAGCAATAAACCGCGACCTGACTGATATAGACTATGAATATGTTTTAAAAACACACCTAAATCATCGGAGGCTGAGCCGCTGTGTTACCCGGTTTCACAGGACGCCGCCATTGAGGGGTCCTGCATCTTTAATTCCCTGTTCCACACATGGGAAAGCGATACATTGTTTCCGCTTCAGTAAAACGCTTCAACATTTTAGTGACTTATAAGCCGAGTATTTTAAATGAAGTTCAACTTAGTAATGGCAAAGAAATATCTTTCAGCATTTACATATTTTGTAAGTTGTACGCAGGAGTACGTTGTTCAGGCATTTTCACGGACAACTAATGTAATTGATGCAGTAGGAAAGTAACGGTAGAGCTCCTGCACGTGGAGTTGATGTCGGTGATATGAGCACACGGCGGGGCTTCCCAGTTTAATTCATCTATAAAATCTAAAATATTGATATGAAATCAAAATATTGTAGCTACAAATTACTTCCTATTCATTTCTGTTTAAACAAATCACACATGTGGCTACTATTTTCAGATAGCCTATATGAGTTGTTTTGTAGCCTATAATTAGGGAATCAAGTTATTTTTAGAGGGCAATAATTATGAATTTTAAAATACATTATTTTTTTTATTTTTTTTACAATAGGCCTATAAAATTTGAGATTGCTGACCTAAAGGTGAAAAAGACATATTTACATGTAGGCTATATGTGTACATAGGCCTAATTGAATTAAAGAGTTTATTTAATATTGTTAACATTTGTATATTAAAGAGATTGACTGATATTTTAGATTAACTTAATAAATATAACTATATTTTATGTTGCTATGCTCTTCAGAAATCGTGATTTTATGTTAAATTAGTTACTCCATAGGATATGCATTAGAATTTAATACTAATAATAGGCTACTGATTTAAGATATTATATAGGCCTATCCTGGAAAATAATTACTTCATAGAAATAGAGTAAAATACCCAGAGAATTTAGTACCAGCTCGCACTCATGGTCGCGCTCAAAGGGGGCGCTGCATAAGAGAAAAGTGAATATTGACCGAGTATGACAGATAGGCTATGTCCAAAGCTGAAGCAAAGGGTTAAACCCTTATGTAAAAATACAAACTGTCTATTGCAATAATCATTTACAAGAAAAAAGATGTTTTTCGACTACAAAATACCGCATGCCCATAGTGAATTTGAGAAAATGTGCAGTTTGATTTTGTATGTAGCCAGGTTGATTTAAATAAACTTGAAAAAGTTTATTTACATGTTGCATGAAAGAAAAATAATTAAATTCTGATTTAGGCCTAACTGAAAAAATGACATTTTTTACGGTGATGTGTAAAGAATCAATGTCCAGTTATTACATAGCTCGGCTGATTATTGGCAATGACATTACAAAAAGTTAAAAACAAAAAGCAGAGTATTAAGTATAAAACTGAGTCTAATAATAAATAACCTAGTTCAATAGCCTCTGTCTGAAATATGACATTAGTCTTCAAAGATATAGAACTAATATCTAATTTGACAGTTGACAGTTGAGATGCACATGCAGAGTATTTATTGCCTGGTACTAATAAACACAAACAATAAGTATAGTCTATGAGGTAGAACATGCATAAAATGAGCAGCATAAATCGCTTGTGAAAAAACAAACAAACAAACAAACAAATAATTAAAAAAAAAAATCCTAAACGAATTTCCAGAATTTACAATAAGCCATAAGGCTTCTCAACCAATTAGGATTGGCTCCAAACAATGTTAATATTCCCTTAGCATTCCTTTACAGGATTTTCCACAAAGTGATATGGCACAAAGATTGCACAGCTCAAAGGACTGTGATGAAAATAATAACATGCACACAGAATTCTCTCAGTAGTGGCGACACTTTATTGCTGAATACAGCAGAGCACTGGACTGGGACCAGGTGCAGATTAAATTGTTTGCGTGCTACGAAAGAGCTCGTGCTATACCGGTGCGACAGCGCTCGCGTCTCATTGACATCATTCGCATCATCCCGCTGATGCGCGTCGCGGGATGGATGGAGAACACAGTCTCATCGGAGTGCGCGGAGATTCCGCAGAATAAAACAGACCAACGAGGCACTTCAAACCGTTTGCTCTGAACACAACGAGCAGACGTTAGTATTTTGAAGACTTGCACTTTATTTTACCACGATGTTCGGTTCTTAAACAGCATTTGGTTATGCATTTTGTTTGGTGACTTGCATGTTCTTTACAACTTTGTGAGAGAGCAAGTTTGATGTGAAGACTTGGATGTCACACTTTTGCGCATCTTTTTTACCATATCAACATGTGGCATGGGTTTTTTGGGCTGGATCCCACACGAACGTCCTGGAAGAAGACCTGGAGAGGAGATCATGATTCACACTAACTGCATGAAGAATTTCCTTGTGTTAAAATGAATGATAAACCCAACAAATGGATTTTCATCCCAATTTTAGCCATTCTTTTTGTCATGATTGGGTACCAGTATATTTGTCCGGCAGGCGGTCAGGCTTGCCATTTTAGGACAGGAGACAATCTCGTTAGGATCGGTCCCCCGTCCACTCCAGACCCGACCACCGATGACCCGGAGGAAGACAGCCCACCTAAATGTGCGTCCAAATTCAACTTCACGGAGCGCGATCTGACACGCGACGTCGATTTCAACATCAAGGGAGATGATGTGATTGTGTTTCTGCACATTCAGAAGACAGGCGGGACCACCTTTGGCAGGCACCTGGTCAGGAATATTCGCTTGGAGCAGCCGTGCGACTGCAAAGCGGGACAGAAGAAATGCACGTGCCATCGGCCCGGTAAGCAGGAGTCCTGGCTCTTCTCGAGGTTCTCCACGGGCTGGAGTTGCGGTTTGCACGCGGACTGGACGGAACTGACCAACTGCGTGCCTGTGATAATGGACAAAAGGCAGTCTCCAAAGCGCAAGAGGTAACGCGCCCCCCCCCCCCCCCCC